CCCCTGGTACTGTGTCCGCACAGGCCTTGCACACCTTCACACTTGACTCTGGTGCTTCCCGCTGTTTCTTTCGCGACAGCACCACAGTCACTCCCCTCCCTGCACCTGTTCCTGTCTCGCTGGCTGACCCCTCTGGGGGCCCAGTGCTTGCACGGTCTTCCACTGTGCTTCCGTGTCCGGCGGTCCCGTCTGGTGAGCTGTCTGGTCTCCACCTCCCCTCATTCTCTACGAACTTGGTGAGCAACGCCGTCCTTCAGGATCACTGGGTTGACACCTTTATTCCTGGAGGACAGCGTGTGGCGATCTGCACGTGCTCTCGGACCGGCCGTCACCTGGCCACGTTCACACGTGCGCCTGGGTCTAGTCTGTACACCCTCACCACTGCGTCTCGCGATACCCCTTTGTCCCTCCAGCTGTACGCGTCTGCTCAGGTAGCTACCAAGTGTGAGTGTCGCCGCCTGTCGCACGACACTCTCCTGTGGCACCACCGCCTTGGTCACCCCTCCCTGCCTCGCCTTCGTAGCATGCACTCTCGCAACTTGGTTTCTGGCCTTCCCTGGTCTCTGCCTGCCCTCCCTCCCTCGCCTGCGCCGCCCTGCATTCCTTGCGTCGAGGGGCGGCAGCGCGCTGCTCCTCACTCCTCCTCGTTTCCTCCCACAGAGGCTCCCCTGCAGACTCTCCACATGGACGTGTGGGGCCCAGCCCGCGTCCGTGGACAGGGCCACGAGCGGTACTTCCTGCTGGTCGTCGACGACTACACGCGTTACACCGCGAGGTGGTGAGTTCTCCTCAGACCTTTTGGCAGCCTACTGTGAGGAGCACGGCATCCGCCAGTCGTCCACGCTTCCGGCCTCTCCGCAGCAGAATGGGGTTGCTGAGCGCCGCATTGGCTTAGTCATGGAGGTCGCTCGTACCTCCATGATCCATGCGGCTGCCCCCCATTTTCTGTGGCCGTTTGCGGTCCGGTACGCCGCGCATCAGCTCAGCCTCTAGCCCCGTGTCTCCGTGCCGGAGACTTCGCCCACACTACGTTGGACGGGGGAGGTTGGCGATGCGTCGCGTTTCCGGGTCTGGGGTGCTCGTGCCTTTGTCCGCGATCTCACCGCGGACAAGCTCTCTGCTCGCGCCATTCCCTGTGTCTTCCTTGGCTTTCCTCCTGACGCGCCTGGCTGGCAGTTTTACGACCCCGCCTCATGCCGTATCTTTGCGTCTCAGGACGTCACCTTCGACGAGTCGGTCCCCTTTTACCGTCTCTTTCCCTACCGCACTGCCCCTCTCCCCCCCCCGCCGCTCTTTCTCGCTCCAGGTCCTCCCCAGGTAGACCCCCTCCCCCCTCCAGGTCCTGCTCCTTCAGGTGTGTCTCAGGTAGACCCTCCCTTGACTGAGCCTGTTGAGGTCACTGGTGACTCAGGTCCTACTGGGGGTCGTCCTGCTCGGGGTGCTGAGCCTGAGCGTGCGGAGCCTGGGGGTGTGGAGCCTGGGGGTGCTGAGCTTGGGGGTGCGGAGTCCGGGGGTGCGGAGCCTGGGGGTGCTGAGCCTGAGCGTGCTGAGTCTGGGGGTACTGCGCCTGAGGGTACTGATGGTGCTGGTGAGCGGTCTCCTTGGAGTGGCCGCCTGCGTAGTCACACTCGTCGGCGTGAGCCTCTCTCACCACAGCAGCTACACGACTGGTACGCTCGCCGTCAGGGTCGCGCTGCTGGAGCTCGGGGCTCTGCCACTGGTGGCGCTTCTGCTGGCGTCACTGGAGTTGGGGGTACCGGTTCAGAGGGTACTGGAGCTGGTGAGCGAGGAGCACGCGACGCTGGAGCAGCTGGGTCTGAGGACCCTGGAGTTGGTGGTACTGCTGACCCCCGCAGGAGGCGCTGTTGGCGCTGCTGGCGCTGGAGCTGGGAGTGGTGCAGGTACTTTGTCTGCTGGAGGTGCTGGAGTCGCTAGTCCCGGAGGTGCTCGTACTGGAGGTACTAGAGCTGCTGGGGCTGGAGGAGCTGCTGGACCGGGAGGTACTGCTGTCGACCCTGGAGCTGGGGGTGCCGGGTCTGGTGGTGCTGCTGCTGATGGCGCTGGTACGGGAGGTACTAGCGCTCGAGGTTCTGGAGCTACTGGAGGTGCTAACGCTGGAGGCCCTGGCGCTGGAGGTTCTGGAGCTGCTGGTGACGCTGGTACTGGAGGTGCTGGCGCTGGAGGTTCTGGAGCTACTGGAGGTGCTGGAGCTGGAGGTTATGGAGCTGCTGGAGGTGCTGGAGCTCCTGGTGCTGGTGGTGAACAGCCTTGACTGTTCTTCGCTCCGCCGTCTCCGTCGTCTCAGCCACCACCTGACTCCGTGCTTCGCCAGGTTCTTAGCCTCCCGTCTTCTACTGGTCTTCCGTTACAGCCTGGCTCACCACTGCCTGCTCCTTCTCCTTACACTGAGCAGACAGGAGGTCTTGCTGAGCGTCGTGAGCCTGCGTCGCGTCCTGTCTCGCCTGTTCGTTCTGGTCGTACCGGTCGTCGTGTTCCTCGTGAGTGTCCGCCTGCTGTTCCCGGCACGCACCTTATGGTACTACGTCCTTCCTCTGTTCCACAGCGTGTTCCTCTGCCGTCTCCTGCGTCCTCTCTCCCTAACGGTGCGGACCCTGAGTCTGCCCGGTTTCGTGCTACACACCCTACTGTCATGCGTCTGTTAGCCACTATTGTCACTGACCCGTTGTTTGAGTCTGCTGCTGCGTCTGCCTTAGTCGCTGAGCTTGTTGACTTTGCTGCTGCCTGTCGTCTCGACTACGCCGCTAGTCTTGTTGCTGAGTTTGAGTCTGTCTGTCCTCCGTCCGTCGGGGGTGAGTGTGCTCTTGGCACGGACGTCCTTGAGGACAGGCAGGAGGACCTTGAGTGTCTTGCAGTCGCTGCGCCTCATCTCGTGGCCATGCTGCTTTCCCCTGAGGGAGACCCGAATGCACCAGACATCCCGACCCCGCGCTCTTACGCTGAGGCGATCGCGGGTGAGTACTCCTCTCAGTGGCAGACAGCCATGGACGCAGAGATGGCATCCTGGAAGTCCACAGGCACTTACGTCGATGAGGTTCCCCCTCCTGGGGCGAACATCGTTGTTGGCATGTGGATTTTCAGGATGAAGCGGCCGCCGGGTTCTCCGCCTGTCTTCAAGGCTCGTTTCGTTGCTAGAGGCTTCAGTCAGCGTGAGGGAGTTGACTTCTTTCAGACCTTCTCCCCCACCCCGAAGATGACCACTCTTCGGGTGCTACTGCACGTTGCCGCTCAGCGTGACTACGAGCTTCACTCTCTGGACTTCAGCACAGCCTTCTTATAGGGCAGCCTGCACGAGGAGATTTGGCTGGGCCGCCCACCTGGCTTCACTGGGTCGTTTCCTCTTGGTACCCAGTGGAGCCTCCGGCGGCCAGTCTACGGTCTCCGCCAGGCGCCTTGTGAGTGGCACGACACACTGAGGACTACACTTGCGGCTCTTGGGTTTGCTCCTTCGACAGCTGACCCGTTGTTGTTTCTGCGCACCGACACTTCGCTGCCGCCGTTCTACATCCTCGTGTACGTTGACGACTTGGTCTTTGCCACTGCTGACACTGAGGCTCTCGCCCTGGTGAAGTCGGAGCTGCAGAAGAGACACACGTGCACAGACCTGGGTGAGCTGCGCAGTTACCTTGGCTTGCAGATCACCCGGGACCGAGCACGTCGCACCATCACACTGACTCAGTCACACATGGTGCAGCAGGTCCTTCAGCGCTTCGCCTTCACCTGGTCCTCGCCACAGTCTCCTCTGGCTACAGGTCACTCGCTCTCAGCTCCACCTACGGATGAGTCCGTAGAGCCGAGTGGTCCGTATCCAGAGCTAGTGGGCTGCCTCATGTACCTGATGACCTGCACTCGTCCTGACCTTGCGTACCCTCTTGGCCTTCTGGCACGCTACGTGGCTCCTGGTCGGCACCGAAAGGTGCACATGGATGCTGCGAAGAGGGTACTGCGCTACTTGTGCAGTACATTGGGCATGGGGCTCGTGCTTGGAGGTCGGAGTGAGGCTGTCCTCACTGGGCACTCAGACGCTTCTTGGGTTGACGACCTGGCTACGCAGCGGTCGTCACAGGGTTACACTTTCAGCCTTGGCTCCGGCTCTGCTTCTTGGCGGTCTACTCGCTCTTCTTCTGTTCTCAGATCCAGTTGTAAGGCTGAGATCTACGCCACAGCCATGGCTGCACAGGAGATACGCTGGCTCACCTACCTGCTGACCGACTTGGGAGAGAGGCCTCGTTCTCCTCCAGTTCTGTACGTCGACAACAAGGCCGCCATTGCCTAGTGTCAGGAGCACAGACTGGAGCACAGAACGAAGCACACCGCTCTGCGTTAATTTCTGGCTCGAGAGTTGCAGCAGCGTGATCAGCTTCGTCTTGCTCACGTGGCCACTCGGGCCAACACTACTGATATATTCACCAAGGCACATCCGTCTGGTGATCATCAGCGTCTGTGCACTCTGTTAGGCCTGGTGCCAGTTTCGTCTCACTTGCTCACTTCTTGACTTTGCTTGTACTGTGATTTATACATATATACCTGCATGCTTGCTCTTGCTAGGTAGTGATCACTGTACTGTTGTTGCATATATGCCTCTGCATGTGAACTGGCCTTGTGGCCCTTTGCTTGTCCTCAGAGTGTGTGGCACCCTGAGCTTGCTTTGCTTTTCTTGACTGGTCTTGTGACACATTGTTCTCCCCCACTTTGCCTATGGGGGTGTGTCAAACTATATATGTTGTGTTGTATTGTGTAGGCTGTAGGGTAGCCAATATGGGGTACAACGCCTTTAGGGTTTCACATTTGTACCCTACTCTGATCTAGTTCATTTCATTCCTGCCTGTAGTTTCTGAGATCGCCTCCTCGAATCCGCCTCCGCTACTCGCCGGAACCCGTCCTACCGACTAGAATACGTATTGGCCGACCCTTTTTGCGTTAAATCGAGGCGATTCAATCAGTTTAAGGGAGGTAAAATTGAGCATAATGGTCGGCACGAGATGAGAAGGAAGTATGATGTCGCTCTTGTTTTCCCCGTCCGTTGCCCTCGTTTCCCCCGCTCGTCGCCTTCGTTTCCCCTGCCCGTCGCCCTCGTTTCCCCTCCCACCCACGTCGCCCTCGCTTCCCCCGCCCGTCACCCTCGTTTCCCTCACTTGTCGCCCTCGTTTTCCCTGCCAGTCGCCCTCGTTTCTCTTGTCTGTCGCCCTCGTTTCCTCCGCCCGTCGCCCGTCGCCCTCGTCCCCCCCACCCCTCCCCCATCGCCCTCGCTTCCGATGCCCGTCGCCCTCGTTTCCCCTGCCCATCGCCCTCCTTTTCCCCGCCTGCCGCCCTGTTTTCCCCCGTCCGTCGCCCTCGTTTCCCCCGCCCATCGTCGTGACGTCCCCTGCTTGTCGCCCTCGTTTCCCCCGCCCGTCGCCATCGCGTCCCCCGCATGTTACCATCGCTTCAAGATCCCGTCGCTCGCCCCGTCGACCTCTCGTCGCTCCCATTCCCTCCGCTGCCCCTCCCCGCTTCCCCTCGTCTTCACTCTCGCTTCCTTCCCCTATCGCCCACACACACTCCCTCCCCTCCTTGCGGCCGTCGCCTTCGTCCCTCGCCCTTCCCCCCCCCCGCCTACTCTGTTCCCCCCTACTTACTCCGATTCTTCTTGCTTGGTTTGTTTCCTCCTGCTTTGTCCCAACCCCCCCTGCTCACTCGGTTTCTCCTTGCTCAGTTTTTCCCCCCTGCTCTCTCCCAATCTCCCAACGGCACACGTTATGGCTTTACCACGGCCCTGGATTATTACATGCATGGTAGCAGACAACTAGGCTGGAAAAACAACTACGGAAGGAAAAAACAACTAGGTTGGAAAAAAACAACTAGGTTGAAAAAGAACAATTACACGCTTATGTAATTTTGCGTTTTGCATTTATACGCTACGGAAAAACAAGCAGGACGACTGCCAGCGCAGCACGGTCGATCGCGCTCCAGCAGCGCAAAGTCGCGGCCTGCCAATGCTGCAAGTTGACGGCGTGCCAACGCTGCAGCAAGGCGGCTGCACAGCGTTGCACCCGCAAGACAGCAGCGCACCCGCTTCGCAAGTGCACGCAGATGATTGGCGCGCTGAGCTTAGTCACCTGCAGAGTGTAGACACCAAACCGTCCACGTACTGTCAATTGCACCTGATCAGCCACGTCGATCGAGGTCGGCTTTGCTAGAACCACCTGGGCAACCGTCGCGCTCCTCCGTAAACTTCGTCGCTCTGGTTACTTGGTCGACCTGGAAACCACTAGGTTGGCGTCGATTTGTTCGAAAAAAGTCGACAGAGAGTTGTACGTGCTCGTCGACCATCCAAGCCAACGACCACTGGCCGACTTCACCAAGTCGGCCACTCCCGAGGTCGGCGCCACGAAGTCAGTGCCTCCAAAGGTTGATCTCGCCAGGTCGACCACCCGAACTCGACGCCCTCCAAGTCGATGCCATTCCTCTTCGTGCCCGTCGACCGCCCACGTCGACGACCACCACCGGTCGACCATACCAAGTCGACCACACCCCTGGTCGACCAGACCCAGGTCGACCAGTCCAGCTGTCAGCCGACCACACTAAGTCGGCTTCACCTGGTCGGCGTCACCAAGTCGACGCCCTACCAGGTCGACCTCCTAGGTCGACCTCCCGAAGTCTACCCGGCCAGGGCGTGAACTATTTATTCCTTTTGGTGCGGGTTGGCAGCTGCCGGCGTTGGCGTGGCACGGTGGGGGGCAGGCTGGAGAGGGGTTTGCATCCCAGGGGGAGCGCAACGCCGTTGGAGGGGTTGGTGTGAAAGTGTCCGCCAGATCTGTTGAGACGGATTGGGCAACGGCACACCGACGCTTGGGGCATGTGGCGATGCCCTTGTTGAAGCAGTTGGAGAAGGATGGAGCCGTTAAGGGTCTGAAGCTGAACGGACAGCCACCCGATGACAATTGTGAAATCTGTTTGCTCTCAAAGTTTACCCGTTTCCCCTTCCATAGTGTGGCTGGCAAGCCCTTGGAGCTGGTCCACATGGACTTGGTGGGTCCGCTGCTGGTGCAAGGGCATAAGGGGGGGCGGTATTTCCTAACCATAGTGGATGATAGGAGCAGGCTGATGTTAGCGTATCCACTGAAGCAGAATGACCACGCCGCCTCCATGATACGGGATGATTGGCTGCCATTTGTGGAAAAGCAGGCGGAGTGTGTAGTGAAGCGGATTAGGACAGACCGGGGTGGTGAATTCCTTGGAGCTGAAATGACGGCCTGGCTCAAGAAGCAGGGCATCCAGAGGGAGCTGACCACGACTTATACCCCACAGTCCAACGGTGTAGCAGAACGGGCGAACCGGACCATTCTAGAGACAGCTAGGGCGCTGCTCATAGAATATGGGCTGGGCAACTCCATGTGGCCTCACGCTGTCTGGCACGCTACCGTCGCTAGGAACAGGGTTCTCACCAAGGTTGGTGATGACTCGTGGGTGCCGTTGGAGAGGTGGCTTGGGAGGAAGCCGCCGGTGGACATGCTGAGGGTGTTTGGCTGCATGGCAGTCGCCCACGTCCCTAAGACCTACCGCAGTAAGTTGGGGGCGAGTGCAATCTGGTGTGTGCATTTGGGCCTGGCTGCTGAGTGCAAGGGATGGCTGCTGTGGGAACCATCAAAGAATGTGTTTTTTGACAGCAGGGATGTGAAGATCATTGAAGGCATGATGTATGGGAGCTGGGAGAAACAGCCGGAGGCAAGGGTGTCTCAGCAGATGGAGCAGATTACCATGCAGCTGGACCTGACTCCTAGTGTGTGGGAGGAGGGAGAGGAGGCAGCTGCGGGGAATGGTGATGGAGAGAAGGTACAGGAGGCACCTGCTGACGAAGGAGAGGCTAGTGATAGCACTGGTGGAGCTGCTTGATCTGAAATGGGAGAGCAGCAGCAGAGCAAAAGTAAGGTGCCTAAGCTACCGCGAAGAAGGAAGCTGAAGGGTGTCGTTATGAAGGGGTGGGAAACACCTGTCTCTAGGCCAGGACGCACCCGCATGGCAACAATGAAGCTGACTGCAGGAGCTGGTGAAGCAGAGCAGCAGCTTGGGAATGAGGAGGCAGTGCTGATTTTACCTCATGGCCCGGATGAGGAGGATGAACCTGCCTATTGTTTTATTGCCCCTGCACCCGAGGAACCAGCTAGCATGGAGGAGATATTAGCTGGACCAGATAGGGACAAGTGGCTGGCTTTAGGAATGCTGAGTACCAGAGCCTGCTAGAAGATGGGACATGGGATCTGGTGGTGCTGCTTGAGGGGAAGAAAGACGTACAGTGCAAGTGGGTGTCAAATTATATATATATGTTTAGGTTATCTAGGCTGTATGGGGGTTAGCACTAGGGGGTACAGAAACTTTCTCGACACTCTAGTCTTGTACCCCAACCTTGACCTAATCTCATCATTCTTGCCTAGTCTTAGTTCTTAACATGGTAACTAGAGCAGGAGGTCTCTAGGACCTAAGAATCGGGCCCACCTAGCTGCCTTCCTTGCCTACTGCCCGCGCGCGCCTCGGCTGCAGCGCGAGTCACTTTTTTTTTCCGTGCGCGCCTCGGTTTCTAGTGCGCGCGCCACTGCTGCAGAGCCGCGCGCCGGCCCCCGTCGCCCGCGCAGCCCACGTAGAGCCCGCGCGCCCCTTACGCCGCCCGCGCGCAGCCTGCTTAGGCCCGTCGCCGCACGCAGCCCGCAGCCGCGCGCGCTGCCCGTCGCCACGCGCAGCCAGGGGTCGCACGCAGCCCGTCGCCACGTGCAGCCAGGAGCCGCACGCAGCACGTAGCCGCGCGCAGCCAGCAGCCGCGCGTGCCCTACTCGTGTACCTGCCTGTGAGGCTCACTGCTGCCGAGCCCGCTGCCTTAGAACTGTGCGGTCTGCTACTATCTAGAGCGCCACCTTAGGAGCTCGAGTGCAGCAAGCTACTGCCCTGCACGTTGCTTGTACTGCCTGCTGCCTACTGCCTCTGTGTTAGCCTGCTGTCTACTGCCTGCTGCCTCGTGTCTACTGCCTGCCTGGTTTCTGCTGCCTTTGCCTGCTGCCGTTATGACGACGCCTAATGTCCTCGTGTTCGAACCTGACGGTCGCCCCATAGAGTTCGCTGTGTGGCTAGACGACCTGCAACTGTTCCTTCTGACCGATGCCAAAGAGGGCGTTTCGCTGTTCGATTACGTGTCTGGCACTGCCGTTGCTCCTGCTGCCGATGCTCCTGCTCTCGAATGCTCGCAGTGGCAGACTCGCGATGCTGCTGCACGCCTAGCTATTAGGAACCATCCGCGGATCACTGAGCACGCGCATTTCAGCCAGCAAAAAACTGCTAAGACATTGTACGATGCTGTAGTTGCGCGCTACTCCTCCCCGGCCACTGCAGCCATAGGTCGACTCATGCTACCCTACCTGTTCCCTGACCTTTCCTCGTTCACCACTGCTGAGGACCTCATTTCCCACCTGCGCGCTACTGACACTCGCTTTCGTGCCGCCCTCTCAGCCGAGTTCTGCGCCGCAAACCCCCCCCCCCCCCCCCCCCGATGTACTTCACTCTCTATTTCCTCGTTACCCGCCTCCCTGACACTCTTAGCTCGGTCAGGGACCACTTCCTCGCGCTAGACCCCCCCACTCTCACAGTCGACGACTTCGAGAAGCACCTCCTTGCAGCAAAGAAGAACATCCTCGCTGTAGGTGCTGCTCGTGGCACTCCTCGCTCTCCCCTCTTTGAGGGGTGCTCCCCCTCCCCTCTCACCCCCTCCTACGCCTCCGCAGCTGCTGCTCACGACTACCTTGGTGCTGAGGAGGTCGGGGCTGCTTCCGCTCCTAGTGAGAAGCGTCGCAGCAGCAGGGGCGGCAGGGGTGGCAGGTGAGGAGGGGGTGGCGGTGGAGGTGGCGGTGGAGGTGGCGGCGGGGGAGGTGGAGGTGGTGGAGGCGGTCGTGGGGGTGGAGGGGGTGGAGGTGGTGGTGGGGGCAGCGGAGGCACTGGGAGCGGTGGAGGTGGCAGCAGCGGCGGTGGGGGAGGAGGGAGCGGTGGTGGAGGTGGTGGTCAGGGCCAGCAGCAGTCGCAGCAGCAGCAGCAGCAGCAGCGTCAGCGCCAGACCCCCACTTCCCAGCAGCTTCTTGACTGGTATGCCGGGCGTGGGGCTTCTGGGGGTGCTGGTCGCTGCCTCTATATGATTCGCACAGGTCCCCGCACTGGTCGCCAGTGCACAGGGTTTCACACTGAGCAGCGCTGCTTCGCTCGGCTTAGCGACGCCTGGCGCGCCAAGTTTCCTGATGCTACTGAGTTCCCCAACTGGGCAGACCTGCTTAGGCGTGATGTACCTATCTTTGATCTTGACTATGAGGCTATTCTTGCTGCCATGTATGCATTGACTGTTAGTGCTGAGGGTGACTGCTACTTGTGTGTGCCACTTGACCCAGGTATTGCCCCAGGTATAGCGCCTGTGGCACTAGGTGCTTGTGAGTCTGCTCCCCCTGGTACTGTGTCCGCACAGGCCTTGCACACCTTCACACTTGACTCTGGTGCTTCCCGCTGTTTCTTTCGCGACAGCACCACAGTCACTCCCCTCCCTGCACCTGTTCCAGTCTCGCTGGCTGACCCCTCTGGGGGCCCAGTGCTTGCACGGTCTTCCACTGTGCTTCCGTGTCCGGCGGTCCCGTCTGGTGAGCTGTCTGGTCTCCACCTCCCCTCATTCTCTACGAACTTGGTGAGCAACGCCGTCCTTCAGGATCACTGGGTTGACACCTTTATTCCTGGAGGACAGCGTGTGGCGATCTGCACGTGCTCTCGGACCGGCCGTCACCTGGCC